ACACACACACACACACACAAAAATAGAAAAGAACAGAGATAGCAGAAATGAGAAAAGCATATAGGAACAAAGAAAAAAAGTTCCTGGCATACTTGGGAAGGCCAGGTCTTCAGGTTTTCAGGACCCTTCAAAACACCAGTAGAAATCAAAGAATCCTGCATTCAGTGATTAGCTAACACCAGCAGCTTCATTACCTTGATACAGCTAGAAAAGTTATTTCATGGCAAAGAGAGAATCATATCGATATACTGTATATATCAACAGGTGATTTGTCTACTGCAGAACATTGGAATCCATCTCTCTGTCTGTCTCTCTCTCTCTGTCTCTCTCAATCATCTATGTATCATCTATCTATCTACATCATCTATGTGATGATCATCATGTATCTTTCATCTATAGATAGATATAATCAGAGGTCCCTAAATCCTAGGCCCCTGTCCTTGCATTTATTTAAGCTAAAGGACTTTTGACTGCTCTTTTCCTTTGCTTCATACTGGAGTCATCCTTTTTATATTTACTGAATGGTTCTACCTGCCTGCCTGCCTGCCTGAGAATCCCTGGTTCCCTCTTCACCAGCTCCACACCTTATGCTTTATAGATGATGCTGAATGTTGGGTTAGAGCATTTTCATACAGAGCTAAGCTACCTACTCAAAGCAGGATTTTTTGCTTGGCTTCCACTTCCCTTCTTCTCACTGTGTATCTCTGGTACAGTAATATATCGCTGTGTCCTCAGCTTTCAGGCTGTTCATTTGCAGAAACATCAGGCTATTGGAATCATCTCTGGAGATGGTGAATCGTCCCTTCACTTTATCCGAGTAGTAAATGGGACTTGATTGGGTACTTATATAAGCCACCCACTCCAAAGGTTTTCCAGGACTTTGTCTCACCCAGTACAAATAGCTGCTACTGAAGGTGAATCCTGAACCTCGGCAGGAGAGACGGATGGACTCTCCAGGTCTTTTCACACCCCCTCCAGACTCCACCAGCTGGACCTCAGATTGGGCACCTGTAAAGAAATACTGTTTAATATGAGCCAATGTACATTAGCAGTTGAAATATAACAGCATCCTTGGATGGAAAGAAGTACATAAATCATCTGTAAAGAGGGCAAAAAAGAAAACAAATGGCAACCAAAATATCATTTTCTCCTCTTACTCTGGAAGAGATTCACTTGAAATGATTCCTGGAGGTGGAAGGAATGAGGACTGGGCGTAGTGATTTAAAGAGGAAATTGCATCTACATTTGCATAACCCTCAGAATAAAAGAGAAACAGAGTCCATACAACCATATCCAAAAATCTCCTGGATCAGGCCAAGCACACATTATAATAGGCAAGCATAGATCACAGTCAATCTGTCTTGATAGGATGTTCACATTTGTGATGTGGCTAAGGGTTAAAGAAGAGTCATCCTACACTGATTGGAGATTTCACTTCAATGTAAGAAGGGAAACTTTCTTAATTTCTTGTTGGAGTGTGTGTGTGTGGGGGGGGGATTCTCAATGGATGAGAAAAGTGTTAATTGTCAAGAAGACATCTCGGGAAGCAACACTCAACATAAATACAGCTACAAACTTCAATCTTGATCTGTCTACTTCATTTTTCCCCATGGACAACAGACATTTCTTTTTCTACAACACTGCTGCCCCCTTGTGAAAGAAAAAAATAGAATGAAAATAATTTTAAGGCCTCTTTTTGCATGTAAAACTCTTTGCATGTAAAATAAGGAAACAGTGGCTTCTAAGATAGACAGTAATTTTGCTATATCAAGGAAAAGATGGTAAGTCAAATCCCCCCTTTTTAACCACTAGATCTTGAGTGCATCCATGTTCTTCTGTTTGATTATTAGTGTCCCAGTTTGTGGCTAGAAGAATCCAGTCTAATTTGCTGGTTCTAACTGAATGGGAAGACAGGCATGCAGAGAATATAAACATGTATGTGTCATCAAAATATACATGGAGGAGTAGAGATAAGAGAAACACTCAAAAAGAGTTTAAAAGGTTTGAGATTCTGGCTTGTTCAATAACTATTGACTCACTTTTATTTAACTTTATTTTATTTATTTACCTTTATTTACCTTTCCTGAAATCCGGTAGAGATTGAAAATCTAGCCATCTTTCTCCTTGTCTCAAAAGAAGAATCTCTCAGAGACTTGCCTCAGAACCTCGGATATGTGAGGAAAGTTCCATGGTTTTCCTAAGGTGGCAGTCCTGATATAGGTATTGAAGTCCCTTGAATTGCTGAACCAGTGCTATACCAGAAAAACTCACAATCTGCTTGGTGTGTCAAAGAACTCATCCATATGAATCTGACTCTGTTAACTAACCCCTTCCCTCCAGGAGCATGTCACCAGGTTAATTAAATAATCAATCATTAAAAAAAAAAGCAATAATTTGTCTTTGCACTTATTGCTTCTGAAGAGTCCAAATGAGGAGACGTCTTTAGATGGCAACTTGATCATTCAGCTCCCCATTCCTTTTACGACTTTGCCCAGATGATTCATACAAGTTGACAAGAGTCTCCAGGAGGCTATTAATCAGAGCTGGGACTTTGAGGAGGCACAAAGAATTGGTGGCCCTCAAGAATCCCCAGAGAAGCCTGTAGTATACATGGATCTTCATTGTTACTTATTGTATGTCAATGATTTCTTCTTCTGTTGGACACAGTGGATGGTTCTCAATTTTTTCTATCTTCCTTCCCACCAATCTTTCCAAGAACTTGGAAGTCTTAGTGGCATACAAACAAAAAGCCACTTTTTCCAAGAAAGGTTTTTTTTTTAAGGTTTATTGGCTTTCTGTTATTATATTGATTGATTATGATCTTTTATTCAGCTCACCTAGACTGCTTACACATTGCACAAGTTCGGAACTGCAAAGTAAGAGAAGTTAAAAAAAAATAAAAGCTGTTGCCACAGGAAATGTATTAAAAATACATTTGTATGAAAATACATTTGTAGTTCTGTGTCGTTATGGGATAAAGTCATCAGGTTTAAATGTATTAGTAACAATACATTTGGAAAGTATTGAATTAGGCCTGAATTTTTTTAGGTTGCAACTAACTTAATTCCTGGAACTAGGGAACTGATTTATATAATCAGGAACTGCAATAATTTTCTCTGTCCTTTTTTAGCAGAGGCATTTGTGGTGCTAGAAATCAGGCCTAAGGAAATCCTTATGGAATCCCTGTTCCATAGATGGCACTAGATTACTACCCCTTATATCTCCTTAAACCTGCTTATTGATCAAGAAGCTATCTCTCTATGATGATCTTGTCTTCATTCTTCCCCCCACCTTTCACCAAGTCCTAATTAAACAGAGTTTAACACCTCTTGTTTTCTCAATAACTATGGCCACAATGGATAAGACATTGAGTTAGATCAGCCTAATTTCATATTAGTTAGATCAATACTTCTATTGTTAGTCAAAATGATTAAAGAGGATGCGGATGGCAATCCAATAACTTTGGGGCTATCAATTTGCAAAGTGCTTGAGTAGAGCAATAAATACATCAACACCATTATGAACAGTTTTATTCTACTTTAAAGACATGTCTTAAAATGCATGTTTGTATTGCTTCTCTTTGGAGAAAATTATGGGAAAGAGACCCAAAGTCAATGCTCCCAATAGATATGCCATTAGATTAAAAAGTTCTGTGTCGTCATGGGATAAATTCATCAGGTTTAAAG